AATTTCATTTGGTGTCCTCTAGTTCTTCTATTATGGGAACTAATAACTTTCTTTATCTGCCCTCTCCCCACTACTCATGATTTTATAAATCTCTATTATATCCCCCCTCAATCTCCTTTTTTCTAAACTGAAAAGTCCCAGTCGCTTTAACCTCTCTTCATATGGGACCCGTTCCAAACCCCTAATCATTTTAGTTGCCCTTTTCTGAACCCTTTCCAAGGCCAAAATATCTTTTTTGAGGTGAGGAGACCCAGACCATTTATTTCATAACTATAAACATGTGATTTTAATTTTATAGATTGCATAATTTAAAAATAAACTGTTTAACAGAGTGTATAAGGGCTGGGGATAGCAAGTGATGGACAGGAGAATAGAGAGGGCGGGGCTTCAAGGAAGGGGCGGGGCTTCAAGGAAGGGGCGGGGTGGTAGATCATCTCCTGTTCTGAGACTTAAAACGTGATCTTGGGTGTAAAAAAGTTGGAGACCACTGCTCTAGACCATGTTACCCAGACCTAATAATAAAGATTGGTCTCTTACCCCTTCTGTGTGGCACACCCTTGTTTCACAGGAAACGGACCATGTTGATAGTTTGGCATTTATACTGAAAACTCGTAATTAAAAGTTAATCTAAATACAGACACGCAGAAAGTTGTGCTTTGTTGTTCTTTTTTTGTTGGTTTTGCACCCCTTCCTTGAGCTGCTGGAGGATTTCACAGTGTTTGCTTTCTGGAAAAGCAAACTAAGAGGCAGAGGCGTTACTCACTTTATTAGTCTCGACTTCTCCCGGCCCACAGAGCACTCCCATAAGTAGTGGTCATTCCTGTCTTGCAGGACCATGGCATAGAACCATAGCGTTAGAAGGGAGTGCAAGGGCCATCTCATTGGCACCGCTGCTAAGATGCAGGATTTGTAAAAAGACAATATCCCAGTGACTCACGATAGGAAAGGCTCAATCTACAGGCTACAAGCTATGCACAATGGGAATGCCAGATGAGAACAGTGTCAGAACATCAGTAACAAAGGGTGCCACAAAGCCATGGCCCTTACGGGCAAACAAACTGCACGGAGCATGTTTAAAGCAAACAAACAAAACGTGAGGATGTGGAATCCCCATCTGTGGAGATATTTCAGAGTAGGTTAGATAAATGTCTATCAGGGATGGTCTAGACAGTATTTGGTCCTTCCATGGGGGCAGGGGACTGGACTCGATGACCTCTCGAGGTCCCTTCCAATCCTAGTATTCTATGATTCTATTAATTCTTTAAAGCAGTGGTCTCCAACCTTTTTACACCCAAGATCACTTTTTAAGTCTCAGAACAGGCGAAGATCTACCACCCCACCCCTTCCTTGAACCCCACTCCTTCCTTGAAGCCCCCGCCCTCTCTATTCTCCTGTCCATCACTTGCTATCCCCAGCCCTTATACACTCTGTTAAACAGTTTATTTTTAAATTATGCAATATATAAAATTAAAATCACATGTTTATACTTATGAAATAAATGGTCTGTTTTTAATTCATGCTATTTAAATGTCAAATGAAGCATTTACAATTATACATTTTGTTCTCTGCTA